CCGCCGGGGCCACCTGTCGGGGCGCGGGTGAGGGGGTGGGAACCAGGCCGGTTCGATCCGCCCGCCGCCCCGAAAAGTCTGAGTAACTTCGGAGCTGGGGGCGAGGTCGTGCCGCAGCTCCGGCGGGAGCGGGCGGGCAGCGGTACCGGGTTGCAGCAGATGGCTGGGAGGGAGAGCCTGTCTCCTGCACAGCAGTACCCTGCAGCCGAGTTAGGAACAGCCGAGAACAGGCTTTCGGTGAACAAGCTGCAGCTGACGGCGTACGTGGAGAAGAGAAACCAAATTGTATCATCCGAAATCAGTCTTTTCATCTCCGGCTACAAAAATAGCACTGATTATAGTTGCTCTTCTGTTATCGTTGTTATTCGTGGAATCTGTGTGCTGGATGGATTTTGCTAATCTGAACGGTTATATCCTTTTCTGATGCCTTTATGTCATACTGACACAGGAGTGCACAAAGGGGATGGCTTCCAAGTCATTTGGCAAAACCAGAACGTACGAGTAATCTACAGTGCAAAATAAGTTTTATGGAGAGTGGAGAGGTTATATTGATAGTGGAATTGATTGTAGCTTTATGAATTCACGTGATTGTTGGTAATAGGGTAAAAAGGACTTCACACATGATGAAACGTGAAACTATTACTAAAAATGCTATCTCTCCATGTTAGTAACATGCAGATCAGGTATGCCTTAAATTTTTCAAAATTATTGGAGGTATTTTGTACTATAGAATGGTACTTTGTTTATATTAAAAAAAAAAGGAGGGGAGGGACTTCTTACTGAAAGCAAAAGGATTACAGTCACTGGCGTGAGATTCCTTATGTTCTGTATTTGATAACAATTCTTTAAATCTTGAGTTTGTCATAGAATTCTAAGTGACTGCATTTTCAACATGCATGTCACATAAAAGTGAAAAATTGAAGTGGTTAAATGAGAAGCACAGCTTTAGATCTTGTGGAGATGTGGTGTGTTATCTTACGTGATCTAATAATGAAGTAGTTGTTTGTAACTGGTAAAATAACTCAAAAGAAATATGGTAAGTGTGTTTGTCACAACTAGTTCTGAAAGCAGTAGCTGCTTATGAGAAAGATTTCCTAAGGAACATTTTACCAATTTCATGTGCTATATTATTCATGTAGTAACAGTAATAGCAACTTACGGGCAACATAATGTTAAGGCACAGTATGCTGCTACTGATGACTGTTCCTACTTATACATGTCTATGTATGAATTGTTAAAATATGCCAGGGGATTTGCCTTTGGCATGTTGCATATAAGGATAATTCTGCTTTACATTGTAATTAAAAGAATAACAAGCAATGGACTTTCTTTCACGTGAAGTTGTATACTATTTTAGCAGTAAGTAAATTCATCTGGATTAATATTTATTCTTAATTGCTTTGAATACAGAGAAGGTGTGAGAAGTAGTATCTTAAAAAAAAAAACAACAAAACACAAAAAAATCAGAGTTTTCTCTTACCCTGGCATATGTCAAATCAGCTATATGCACTGCTTTACAATCTTGCCCACAGCGCTGTGAGTCTGCAGTGTAAAGACTTGCATGAACAGGCTATGCATCTTACCGTTGTCACCTGCCATTCAGGGGTGTCAAAAATCGTGAGCCAACTAAGGCTAAAAATTCTGACTGAGCCTGTGAAGAGTCTGGAGTATCTCTTGAACACCTCCCACGTTCATTCTTAAAAACTAGAAAAGGAACAGTGTTTGAAACCCATCCTGATGTGCCAGAGGTTATGTGCATGCAAGATGCAGGGGCCCGCACAGTCTTTGGAGGATTAAAAAAAAAAACCCAAGAGGATTTCTCTAAAATGGGGTGTGGAGGAAGGGATGATTCTTTGCCTGAACAGTATTCAAGGAGCACATTACTAGGTGTGTGTGTCATGGAATACAAAGCTCAGCTGTAAAACAGTCTTCCCTGTTTTCTCCGCTGCTGTAGGAAGTACTTTCACAACGTTGTACCAACAATGTAGCAAATATCCATTGGAAACCTCATAGGAGAGGAAAGTGATTTTATTTAAAACATGAAGTGAAACAAAACAGTCACTCAGGCTTGCAATCTCATAAGCAACAGAATGTGTGCGGTGCCCGAGATGTTTGTCCAGCAGCCAGGCACCACAGCAGGGGTGTTCAAGCTGTGTGTCCAGTAGTCTGGCGCTATGTTGCTCGTGTCCAGACACGAAGTCCAGGATCCCTTATAGAGGACAAGGGACATCAGCTGTTAGGTCCTTATGTCTTCTGGCCTCTTCCTAGGTTGGCAACCGTTCTCGGTTCCAGATACGCCTTTGTGTACCCTTTTGGAGGTGACAGTGGTCTGTGTCTCTACCCTGTCCCACTCTGTGAATTATCACTGTTCTTTGTCTCCAGATCTGGGCGTCTTCTGAAATTGCAGGGGGATGTGCTGGGTCTTGATGACCTGCTAACCTGCGTGCCATTAACACAAGCCCTTCTGAGAGCCCTGTTCCTGCTCTATGTTCCTTTTGTGCCTCCACACTCAGGCACTCCCTTTCTTTCTCCAATAACACCACTCAGCCTTTCTTATTACAGTTCTTTGCGTTGCCTCATAGATTGGGTTTAGGTGCCTTTTAAAAGTTACCTAGAAAGTGAAAGGAGCACGAAGGCAGCTAATTTTTTGCAGGACTGTAAGCTACTTCTGTTATATTTTGTGTTTATGATTTAAGCTTTTGTCATTATCAGCTTTCCAGGTTAAATTTGACGCTTTTTAAGCCATTGGAAAGACCTCAGTGGACTTCCAATCTGTAGTGCCAATTTTGCTTTCTCTATCTTCACACACCTCCACCACATTTAACTTTCGAGGTTTCGTGTCTTGGTCTTTCAACATAAACCTGTTTCTAGGTCTTTCCTTCCTCACCTACTTCTCAGGCTCTAGGGAAGAGGAGAGGAATCATCTTCTATGTCCCTGTCAATTCTGCTCATCTCCTGGAGCGTGTACACGTGTGTATGTGAGAGAAAGAGAAAGGTAGTATTTTGGAAAGTCAGATCTGATGGATCTGAGTTTTTGCTGACCATTCTAATTACAACTAAGGGTACCTTAAAACAGAGTGTGAGAGGTGGGGTGAAACCCAGTAGCATAGCTGTACACTATTCATTTCAGTATAGTTTCCAATTCCAGTGTGCTGATTATGTCAGAACACTGACTTTTTTTTTTCCCATTGGTCCATTGGTACTAGGGCATGTTGATCTATATGAGAAGACAAATAGTACGATTTTCCTGGTAAATTTATTTATGAGATGGTTCTCCATCTCTTTTTGGTTTTGAAATTCCTGAAGTTGCCTGTACGCAAGAAATTGTCTATCTGAATGTGACATTTAAAGTTCATGGAAACTAACCTTTAGTTACGGTAGAGCAAAAAAAAAAAAGAATGGGCAACAGGTCAAAACTTAATAAAAATAATATTTTCAGAATTTTTAACAGAAAAGCATTAATATATATAATGTTGAGTTTTCACAATTATTTCTTGTTCCAGATCAATTGATTGTATGTTCAGTAAGTAAGGTATGAAACAAGAAAAATAGTCTTTTTTTTTCTTCATAATTTCCACTAGGTTTTAACTGTAGAGTTGATAGCGTCACCATCAATTTCAGTGCCTGCTAATTTCCAATAGCCTTGATTTATATACATTGCAAGTTACATTTGCAAGTTCTGTTGGTACCAGTGTGAACGCTGCTTCCACATAATCTGTGGAAATTGGATAGAAAGTATATCAAGCAGAGCAGTTAAAACCTGGGACATCCAAAGTCAGTGAACTTGTTAAAATAAAATAATACAAAAAAAATTGGTTAAAGCAAATTGAATTTCAGTATTGGATGAAACATTCCTTTGTATAAGTTGCTTTAAGTATCACCCACTGCTTTTTTATAAGAGTTACTTTAGTGTTTAGTTTAGTTGTAGTTTTAGAATAATTGAAAGAAAACCCAACTTGGCATTGGGAATTGTTTCCATTATGATAAGTAAGTTTGAGAGAGTTCCTGTTAACTGTTCCTTATCAAATTAATTGTTTTGTGAATCATTTGCTGTAGGTTCCTCAGTCTCTCAAAGACACATAGTGCTTGGCAGGTTCTTGAGGGAGGACTTGAATAGGAAGGGACAGAATTGACAACATGAGAATGGAATAACTACCCTGAAATACAGGGCTAGGGATCATCTGCTGACTACAGTTTTTCTGAAGGTGTAGGTCACTGGTGCTTGCAGAACTGCTGTGTCGTGCAGGAGGGTGGAAGCTAGTAATACTTTGGTGAGGATACTGAGAGTTTTTAATAATGTAAGTTCTGTGTGATGAGGTAGTTCTGCTTAGAGCAATGCATTATTCTTCCAGTTAGGTTGTCAGCTCAGCATCCTTGAGAACAGTCATTATGCTTCCTTGCTACAGTGGTTTGTTATTAACATGAAAGAGTTTCTTGCCTTACTGGAGGCTGAAATTATGTCCATCTCGGTTCCAATGAAACTGGAACATGTGTCTGTTGATGATAGCTTACCATAACAACGTCGTTTATCTTCAAAATATGCACAATTAAAAAGTAGTTTCGGTAGTGGTGTATACATATGCTCCAGCTATAGTCAGTCAAGCATGGGCTGTAGGCTGTTCTCAATAAAGTAGAAACCAACAAATTCCAGCGAACAAGGGAATTCAGTACTGTGTAAATTACATTCTGTGGAATGAATGACACGTGATTTTACTCCAGGAAACAGAATGGTTTCTGAACAAAGCCTTTCAGGCGTGTTTTGGGTATATGCTTCTCCTCCCCAGCCTGTTCTTAGTTAAAGTTTGCCTGTCCTGGGTCTTCCATACTTGGGTCCAATTCACTTGACCATCCTTTCCCTTAAACTAAAGGAAGGGGGTGGCTATGATTCTTTGAAAAGTAACATCAGCATGTTTTATGTAGAATGTCTAAAAATGTTAACTAGTTCCTGGAAGGTACAGCTAATCTTTTGTGTCTTGTGCAGATAATAATGTATGATCTGAGTAGTTTCCTGGATGCAAATTTAATTTCATTTGTTCATCTCTCTCTCTAGGCTCACTGAAGGGAGTGTGGATTGATCAAAAATAATGGTGAGTAAAGCTATAAGGTTATTTAGGTACTAAATACCAGGTGCTAAACTTGTCAGATTTGTTGGTTGATTTAGGGGTTTTTTTCCTCCTTTTCCTTGTCCAAAGAAATCAGTCATTGAGATTTTAATTTTTCATAGGATACTTTCAGAGAACTGGAATGTTGCCATAGTGTCAGCTTTCAGTTGGGCTTTGCTTGAAAGAAACTTTGATTTAACTACATATTCTAACAAGAATAAATGCTTTTAAAGTTATGAAATTCCTGTCCCATGATGGCATTTTGCTCTGCTAAGAGACACTAATTGTGTAATTGTATTAACTTGGAGTAGTTATCTTAAAAGTTGTATTTGTTAAACAGTAGGATTGGAAGAAAGATAACATAACCAAATGACAATTATCAAATAGAAAAAAGTACATTCAAAATTTCTAAGGATGACAATCAACTTCTGGAGTTTCATTTATTTTTTTCCAGTGAATGAAATAAAGATATTCTGGTAGTTAAGATGTGTAACAGAGTGCTATATTCTGTTCTCAGCTCTGCCACAAACCTTTGGCATGTTTTGTTGCAGCTCTCCAGGTCTGTTTTTCCCTATCTTCATAACAAGAATAAGACTTTCCCAACAGTGTGAGCATGGATGGTAAAACTCATGATCAGGTGAAATATTTGAGTGCCTCAGAGAGAAAGTGATGGTGACGTGTGCTGTATTTCCATTTTCATGATCTACTCGCTACTTATAACATAGGAGTTGAAAATTGTCACTGGAAGATTATTTCTGAACTTGATCAACTAAAGGGTTAAGGTAATTAGAATAAGATGAGAAATACATACAGAGAAAAGAGAGGAAGGCGTTAGAAAATATGGTGTATCCTCATGTTCTTGTATGTGAGAAAGAGAAGCCAAAGAAAAAAAATTTCTCTTTCACATCTTTCATTGTAGTACAGGAGAATGATAATAAATGTTTCTGGCACTAGCTATGCAGGAGCGCACCCGCATTACCTTCAATCCAGGCTGGCATCAAACTTAAAGCAAAAAAAATCATGTCATAACATCTACTGTGACTAGGCGATAACAGGTGAGTGTCACTGATGAAAGGCCAGGAGATCAGTGACGAGATGACAGTTGTTGAAGTATGTCTACACTGTGGATAAGTGGGGAGAAATGAGTAAAAGTAAGTACCTAATCTGTGTGATCTTACAACTGTCATAAGTGCTTTTTTCCTCTACAGCACTGACAGTTCTGTAGTTAATTAAGTGATAGTTTGTGGTGTCTCTTTGAATTGTGACCTGCTACAGCAGAATATACCCTCCCTGCGTGCAGTGTGCATTCTGGTGCTATCTCAACCTTGTCATGCTATATATTGGAGGCATGGTTAAGAAGCCCCATAGCTAATTAACACTGGTATATTTTTGGATGCATTGCTTCTGAGTAAGCATATAGTTCAGCATTTCTGTAGTATTTCCTTAGCCAGCTTATGGACATCTACAGTTAGACATAAAATCTTACAGAGCAAGGGGTTATTGCAGTTTGTGAAGCCAGCTAATTTAGTCCATTAGAGTCAGGCTTTTAAAGTAATGAACCAGTGGGCATTTTAATGTTGAATGTATTTTATTCTGATTCCTAAACTACCTCTCTTTTTTTAAATTTTTTTTTATTTTGGGATTGCAGATCCTCTCCTGACATTCAAGAAGAAGGTGGTCCTGTTGCTTGCTTATAGGCTGCGAGATGTGGATGTTTCTCTTCTAGCAAGTAAAAACCCGTCCTTCACTTCCATGGAGCTGAACGAACAAAGATCTCTCTACTTCCTGTTTCAATCATCTCACCTAACATTTGATTCACCAGGTGACTTCTCCTACAGAAGTACCCCACCATTCTATCAAAATTCAAAAGCGGAGTAACAGAAATTAGCATTTGTTTCCCTGAAGAAGTGTCTTCTGTGCCAGCTCTTCATCCAGCTTTCTGCATTCTGTTTTAAAATTATCAGATGCAAGTGGAAGCTGGTGTTCTTCACTGATATCTCCTTCTTCATTTTAGGAAGGTTAAGTACTTCACTGTGTCATATTGGAATTCCTAGCAGATAAAGTGTCTGCATGCATTGCTATGTCAAACTGTCTTGGCATGTAAGAAAAGTTGCAGCAGGAAAACCAGAACACATGTTCTGCTCTGACATGAGGAAGAAACTTACCAAACAGTGGGGGACATACCATACAGGTATTTTCTAGTCCAGGACCCCCGGCTTGACTTTGTAGATAGATGTCTTGATGTCAACTCACGTAAAGCAGCTAATGCACAGGAACAAATGCAGAATCACCTTGTCTATAGTGTGTAAATGCATCATCCCAGTCTGTGATCAAAATGTATATTTGCATGTGTAAACCTATGTAAGTGCTGGATCTGAAGAGCTTTCACCAGAAGGAGAAATTACTCTGCACCATTTCATTTTTAGCAAAGAAAAATGAAGCTTTAAAGGCCTCTGGGGTAACAGGATAATGATTAGGTTTACATTAAATCATTCCCTCCCTCTGGCTTTTTATGAATCCTTAGCAGCAAAAGGAACAAAAGCATTCTACAGTAGAAGAAATGGGGCAGAACTTCTTTCTTTAATAAAGAAATCAACTTCTGGTGGGATGGAAGAGACCAGAGGTGTAAAGTTGCAGTTTATCCGCTCAGCTTCCTTGGCACAGTTTCAGCTTTTCATACTGCTGATGGAATCAGCTTTTTGATTCTTCTGTGACTGAGAACTGAGATGACCTATATGTTTCCATCATCTGGGTAGAAATAGGCCCAAAAGAATGGACTGTTTGCCACGTAAGAGGGGTGAGTTGAGAGAGAGCAGAAATACTTAGGACGGGCCTTTTTCTGGTTCCTCTTATTCCTTCCCAAACTAAGGCGCAATCTGTTGTTCTTATGTTTACACAAGATTCTTTGTCTCCTAATCATCTGTGATTATATAGGATGTTTTCTGTCATTCTGAGATGGGAGCATATATTGTTTACATGCTCCCTGCTATGGTATTGTATATGGCAAGTAAGATTTCTTGGCAAAAAAACCCCAGAACTGGGATATGTATTCTGTTCCACTTCAAATCTGGAGCTCTTCTTAGTGCACCTTATTCCAAGCTTGTGATTTAGAAAATGTGACTTACTAGCTTAAAATAATATTTTCAAATCTGGATCAAATAAAGGTATATAGGTTCTGTTAATAGGTTTTGGGAGATAATAGCATGGTTGAGGGGGGGGTGTTTTAGATTTCTTGTTTTGTTCTGTTTTTCCTTTTAGATAACTGCTGGAGAGAGCCAGACAGCCTGAAAATGGCTGAAAAGGCCAACGATTGAAATCCTTCTTAAATCTTAGTGATAGATTGCAAGGGCAGCATTCTGATATTTAAAATGTGGTGACATTTTATGGGACCAAGTTCCATAGCAGAGTAAGGACAAGTGTTGATGTTGATCCTAATTTTCAGAGTAGAGTTGAGTTAAGTCTGTGTTTAGGCTTGCATTGTAATGGCAGCTTTACCCATTTTTTGTTTCCACGAAGAAAAGATCAGACACGTAAGCTAAAGAGTGGTGGGCAAGACACTGCGTATCAAAATAATGCTAACTGTAATGAGCACAGAGGTGCACTAAAATTGTGTGTAACATTGTGATGAGCTGTGTGATAAGAGTTACATTGATCTTGATGAGGCAACCACCAGTTTGGCGTGACTTCTTTTAAGAACATAGGATTTCTTTGCTGAATATGGTCTGAATTTTCTGGCATTGGAGGCAACTAGAAAAGCACACTTCCTTTTAGGGCCTCCCTATGTTGAAACCAACAGGATTTAATGTAGATGTCTGTAGAAGCAGGATCCATCTCTGAGTGATGGAAAATACTGTCAATATCATAGGATTATAAGTCGTTGGGAGGTATCTGGTATCAGAAACATCTGATTTTAGATCTGGGAATTTCCTTTTCTTCCTTCTGCCCATACTTATCCTTCTGATGTTAGAGCTAGCGGTTGGTTTTTGCGTAGCTTGATGACAAAATATTTGGGGGACAGGAAGGTATTTTTCTTTTCTGTGGACATGTACAAAAACTAAGAATTTGTCTGACTAGAACATAGACACTTTAAGCTGTTTGATTTCTTTTTCCATAGGAATAACCCTCAACATTTTGTAACCCTGCATTGTAACAAAAAAATAGAACTGCTGATTTTTCCTGACTCCTATCCATGACAATGTAACAACATTAGTTTTCAACTTGAATTTTAGAACATAATATTTTTAGCAGGGCTAAGGATCTGTGGCTTTCACAGAAGTACTACTACAATAGTGCATGCCCAGAAGACCCCCATTGCTGTACCTTTCCGGCCAGCACCTTTATAAAACTGCTGTGTTAGGAAATGCTGCCTCAGCCTACTTACTTTTTCTTGCTCCACTTTTTCTCTACATTGGTTGGAAATCTTCCCATGTGAAAGATTACAGAAACAAGGGGCATGTGCAATAGATCATATATATATACATATATATATTTTAATACTTGTGGACAAAATGATGTTACAAGTTGTTTGAAAACAACAAAATCACCAATGTCTTCCATTTTGAGATGTGTATAGTTCCATAAGCATTAGTGCTTTGTAGCAAACTGTAGTGCCATGTTAGGATCAGTGCATGAGCCTAGTAGTATTTTTACAATTTCAGAGTGACAAATTTATTAATAAACAGTGATGATAATGTAATTAACAATAGAAAGGATACAATAGGAATGTCACAAACATGGTCTAAACATGCAGTATCCTCCCTTTGACAACGGCAACGCTATCTTTAGAAATGGAATGCATTCACTTAATGGGCTTCATAGAATCATAGTTGACTTTTTGCTTTTAGTCTATCTGTCCAACTTGCAATAGTAAGTTAGTCTGTGTAAGCATCCAGAACTCTTGTCTTTATCAGTGAGATTCTTTTCTTTTTAGTCTTTGTCAAAAGTGTTTTCTTCCACGTGCAGCATTTCGAATTTTATTATTACCCATCCTGTGATATGCTCAGAAAAGTATGAATATGCTAAGGAGTTTGTGTGCATTTTGTACACATCTCTGCTACCTTAAGATGATTTACAAAATCTGTTAATTAATTTTTTTTTTCAGATCTGACTATATAATTGTTATAACTAGTTAAACATTATCCTCATTGTATAATAAGTTAATGGTTGCAAAATGCTATCTGCTAATTATGCGTAGCAGACTTTTATCCATTATTGCAGGAATGGGGAACCTTTCTTGGCTGAAGTCCTATTGAATCTTTTAACACCTTTGGTGGATCCTGCATTTACATACATTTTAATGTTAATATTAATAAGAGAGAATATAATGTCAAGGGCTGTTGAAAAACAACATTGCAGACTGTATCTGTGCAGCAGGCTATCTCTAGCCTATGGATCAGAGATTCCCCACCCCTGTATTATTGAGAATTCAATATCCTGTATTTTAGGTAAGTTCCAGTATTGCTTTCCAGCTCTAAGCTCAATTTTAATAATTTCTGTCTCTCCCTCTGCTTTTTTCAGAAGGAAAGTTTAGACCAGGGGAAGTCCAAATGATTTAGCACTCAATGGGCAGCTTGGACTGGTCATATGAGAGACTGGTATGATTCCCGAGATGTGCAATGCTCTCTGGATGGCATCCTCTGATTTCCTAGGAAAAAGTCTTTTATTAGGTGCCAGTGTTGCTCTTCACCCATTTCTCTCTTTTACAAGAACAAAATTCTCTTTCAACTTAGAGAGGATACTGCATCTTTTTTTCCTGAGACCTGCCTGTAAATGGCCATTAGGGGGAGGGAGGGAATGGGTAGCTTGGTTTTGTAATTTTGGTATGATATATCTCTGAAGTAATTAATCAAGAAGCATGTACTTTGGTGCAAAACCAGTAATCCGTGCAGAATTAATGTATGTAACAGGGAAAAAAAGAAAAAAAAATGAACAACCAACCCTCTGCATCTAATACATTTCCAAGAAAATTGGACAGGTGGGCCATTTACAGCAGAGCTCTGGGGGACCTGTGCTGAGAGTTAGGTTCAATTCTAAATGGAAGTAGCTGTACCATTGAATAAAGTAGATTAGTGCTTGGGAGAATCAATTGAAAAATACCTCTGAAACTGGAATGCAAAATAGCACAGTATGTAGGGGGAAGAATCCCTGATGCAAACAAAGCCATAAGATGATTTAATAAGAAAATAGAACTTTAGTAGCAATAACTGTTTTGCATGTGATAGTAAATAACTTGCATTAGCAAGACTGTACAGTAGAGTAAGTGGGTAATAACCAAATAAGTTTGTGGCGCTCTGTGCTGCAGGGAGTTGCGTGAAGAGTCTCTTCCTGAGAAGATGGGTGAATTTCTCTTATGTTCCTCTCATTGGAGAGAATTTGGCACTTGAATACTTAGTTAATGAACCTGATATTAAAAAAAAAAAAATTAGCTTTGTCACATGTCTGAAGCACTGTCAGTGAGTGTTGGGGGAAGGGCAGACAGTTCTTTTTGAGAGGATAGCTGAAGTTTCCCTATATTTTTTTCTTTTTTGAAGTCTAGCACTTGCTCTGTTTCTCTGAGAAGAAACTAAACCCTGGCCTGTGAAGAGAACCTGATTCTGAAGTTAGAAGCTTTTATTGTGGGAAATAGCTTTTGTTTTCTTTGTTTAAAAAGACCAATCTGAGATGGTCTAAAAATAAAAAATCAGAGAACACTTGACACTCAAAACATTTGTACATCCCAAGCACAACTGTAGAATTCTAAAAACGTTACTTTACAGCAAAAAATAATTTTAGCCTTGCTAAACACTGTTTCAGACCATAATTGATTTCTGTTGATGCCTGAAGTTTTGCAGAGGCAAATACTGTGAAGCTTTTGGTAGCACAAAGGGTTATTGATCTACAAGCTGCAGCCTCTGCACCCAGCAAAGTATTTGCTATCAAAGGGTTACATAAAAGAGCTGCAGGAGTTCTAAAATGTCCATAGTTGACACTGTTTTCAGTGCAGATATGTAGTCTATAGAGACAATATGGCCCAACAGATAATACTGTATTCTGAACAGAACTATTACATCAGAGGTTTAGATCTATCTGGCTGGATTTCTTCTAGAAAGCTGAAGTAATTTGGACTGTAACGTACAGCTGAAGGGAGGCTTCTAATGTTCCGAAATGACGGAGGTGAAACCCTTTGGCTCTTTGTAAGTTGATAATGGGACTGTGAGAGCTATGAGCATTTTTACAGTATAAAGTAACCAAGATAAGCATAAAGATGTCTAAATTAAGTGTTGGCTAATATGTAATACGTGTATGAAAAGCTAATTGATCTGGAAGGTTGTAATCAGCTTAAATTCCAGCTATTGAATTATTGATAAAATTGGAAGCTGGCCATAGGGGACCTTAATTTGATTGTTATCTGATTACATTAGAGAAACTATAAATTTATTCTGGTCTGTGGTCAGCAAGTACATTTGCATAATGATGAAATAATAATGAAAATACAGTCATGTTCATACTTCTGAAGTATGAACTTTGTGGCTGAATAGAATTCTTCAAGGGTTTATTCATTCAGAGAAGGGGGGGGGAAGTCAAGACTGATGTAGCCAGGCAAGCTATCTGCATATTCTTCCCAGTTCAGACTTTTTATAATTATCTGTATTCTATGGGCTACCAGACTAGAAGTTACTATTCACAGCAACAAAAGGAATCCCTTTGCCTTTCAGCTCTTGCACTATGGCATGGCTTTAGCTCCAACCCCCTTGATTTCACTGCTTCTAAAACTAAGTGGAAGTGTTAGATGCTACCACATTTCAGCGTGGGATATCAAAGGTGTAGTGACCAGTACCGACATGCCTCCTTTAGCAGTACTAAACCCAGATGATACAAGTATATGCTGTTTCCATACCCAGTAGGGCTGCTGCAGAAGGTCTAGCCAGTACTTGTGTTGGGAATTGCACCTTCAGGAATTGCACCTTCTGCAACTGAGGATAATTGTCAAATTTAGGACAAAAAAGAAAGTCTTGCAAAGACTCCTTGAATAGTGAGTGAGAAGTTGTACCAAGCTTCAGGACACTGACACTTTACGCAAGGATTACATTGTCAAGAGCTGGCAGTGTGGTTTTTTGGGCAGAGAAGGGAATAATGTGGAAAAGAAGAACAGTTTTTGATGGATAACCAATCTTGGAAATAACTGCTTCCTGCATCCCTAGGAAACGCTCTGGTCTTCCTCCAAAACTAATAATCCTGCTTGCCATTCAGGTACGGAGCTGCATAATGGCAGTTCAAGTTAGATTCCATTGGATTTCTTTTAATGAATGATCCAGCATTTTGCCCCTGTAGCGCTTTGACTGGCACACAAAAGCCAGCCGTTGAACCAGGGTGTCTCGTTTAACAGTGCAGAACACCAACCATGGATTCTGATATCTATTCCCTTTCAGTCTGCTCTACGCTTTCTCCTGAGTTTTAGAGAAAGTGTCAGTGTTCATGATGTAAGCAGAGCATGTTTCTGTCTCTGAGCCTATGTACCAGGTTATAATATAGACAGATTCCCTAAGGCTTTACAACATCTAAGGTTAGAGATAAAAGGTAACTTACTGCTATAACTTACTGTTTAGTGTGTCCTGTGTAAATCCTGTCTGCTTCTCTCCACTTCCCCTCCAAATGAGTGTGTTTGCAGGTCAAACAAGAGGCGGCTAGTTTGTAATGCCTTAGGCATGAAGAACTGCATGGAGAAACTGAATGAAAGCGGCACAGGCCCACAAACCAAATCTTAGAGCTAGTATTCTAATTATGCATGATTCAAAATGTCTAGTGTAATGTAGTTATTACCAGTAAATTGAGATATGCATTTATACATAATGAAGCAATAGGAATTAATATACCAATAGCTTGAACTTCCTGCTTTGATTCTCAAACTTTGGTTTTCTTAGAGAATGTGCTGCCTCTGTAGAGAAAGGGGCAGAATGTATAGATAGGGACAGAAGCATGGCACCAAAACTGTAAATCAGGAACCAGGATCAGCAGGACTCGCCTTTATAACCTTGTCTGGTTCATATTAGTGCCCTGAGCATGTAAAAAGCAGGGCATGAACTAAGCATGTTTAGGGGCGAGATGAGGTTTCTCACCTGCTGCAGCTGTAGCAAGGAAAAGGGTGCAGAGTTTCTTACAAGGTGCAGGGGGGAGCAACTGGTGGAAAAAAAACAAACACACAAACACAAAACAACACAAAAAACCAAGTAACGGAAAACACAGACTCAAATTGAGTGTAGTATTTGCCAGACAGTAGGTAATAAGCGTGGGTGTGGTGAAAGAAATTATTTGGAGAAGACTGAAATTAATAAGCACAGTACATATATTTCAGGTGTTGAATAGCTTTTTAATAGACAGTATTTTCAGGTAACTCTCTAGCCACATAGGCAGCTGTACTGAAGCATACTGGTACCAGCCAGCAATAATGGCACCTGCAGGAATGAACCTGAAAATACTGGTAATCTTGTATATTTTTTAAGTTCTTTAAAGAGATTTTTAAAAACAGAAAATGACATTTGATCACTGAAGGTCTTTATCTTCTGCAACACAGGTTGCAATAGTCTTTTTTCTTTATTTCACTTATTAAATAAAAGGGAATTTGGGTGCCATCTTTCTGTAACTTTAGTGTGTTCTCTGTAGTATTTCCCAAGTCTTTTAGTGGATAATGCAGTGAATTTCCGCTGGCAGTTTGAAAATAACATAGAACGTGTGGCATAGCCTATGTCACTAATGCTTTTCCAAGTTTAAACTTGTATTCAAACATGTAGAATACTAGCTTGTTACTGCAGAATTCTATACTTCTAGCTTAGCTTAATTTTGTAGGTGGGCTTAACTTGTGCAGAACACTTCTCCATGTACAGAGGCTCAGCCCTCTTTCTTAAATAGAAAGAGGAGGTGTCCTGGAGGAAGAAATTGTGTGTCAAGTTAACTCCTGTTCATACTTCATAGCCAACCATCCATAAAGCACCATGATTTGGGTTTAGAATGGGGGTTGCGTTTTTCTCATGAATGCTTTCTAGATATACAAGACTTGCCAAATGAAGATAGGAATATTGTAAGAGAAGATAACTAATTTATGGTATCAGAAGTTAGACTAAATGAAATCCTTTGAGCCAGCTTCTTCAAGCAAAAAGGGAATTTGTAAAACAAGTTTAGCCCAGCGGTTAACCATGGTCACCTAATTCTTAGTGGGTATTCTTTAGAACACTTTGCATGGTTTTAAACCCTGTTAAATAGATGTTCTTTTGTGTGATGAGTAAGCAGCTGTATCCTTTGTTAATGCTTATTCCCTTCAATATAAAACCTGGGGAATAAACTACTTTAGGATGTCAGTGAAGATATCTTCCTTTCGAAAAGTATGATAACAGCAAAGGAGAAGTATTAGTTATAGATTCTTAAAAATTACCTTAGTACTTAAAAAACAGGCTAGAAAATACTTCTTACACTGAACTTCTGATAGCATGCTCACATGGATTAGCGGAGGAAACTATTGGTGTCATTAGGAACTACGTACTCCCATTGCACATGTTTTACATGGTAACAGTGAAAGAATGTCTCCCTGCAAATTCTGATGTTTTTCCAAAAGGCAGCTTGCTTTTATATCTATGCATCTTTGAGGATTTCAAGATAAGATTTTATTCTTTTGACACTGTAAAGAGGAACTGTTTAAAAATGAACTTGGAAACTCTGCACCTGTATACAAATTTTTTTAGCAATAAAGCAGCACAGGCTGAGAATGCACTAAAACTGGATGTGTCGTTTGTTCAGAAGACAAATTAACCAACTTACTTACTATACGCTACAGCACTTCTGAGATGTGTTTGTACTTAGAATCATAGAATCATTAAAGGTTGGAAGAGACCTCCAAGATCATCGAGTCCAACCATCAACCCAACACCACCATGCCCACTAAACCATGTCCCTAAGCGCCTCATCTACCCGCCTTTTAAATACTTCCAGGGATGGTGACTCAACTGCTTCCCTGGCCAGCCTGTTCCAATGTTTAACTACTCTTTCAGTAAAGAAATTTTTCCTTACATCCAATCTAAACCTCCCCTGGCGCAACTTGAGGCCATTTCCTCTCGTCCTTTCGCCAGTTACTTGGGAGAAGAGACCGACACCCACCTCGCTACAACCTCCTTTCAGGTAGTTGTAGAGAGTTTCCAGCCACTCTTCCCCAAGCCTGTAGCGCTGCATGGGGTTGTTGTGGCCAAAGTGCAGGACCCGGCACTTGGCCTTGTTGAATCTCATACAGTTGGCCTGGGCCCATCGATCCAGCCTGTCCAGGTCCCTCTGCAGAGCCTTCCTACCCTCGAGCAGATCAACACTGCCGCCCAACTTGGTGTCGTCTGCAAACTTACTGAGGGTGCACTCGATCCCCTCATCCAGATCATTGATAAAGATATTAAACAGAACTGGCCCCAATACTGAGCCCTGGGGAACACCGCTCGTGACCGGCCGCCAACTGGATTGAACTCCATTTACCACAACTCTCTGGGCCCGGCCGTCCAGCCAGTTTTTGACCCAGCGCAGAGTCCACCTGTCTAAGCTGTGAGCCGCCAGCTTCTCCAGGAGAATGCTGTGGGAGACGGTGTCAAAGGCCTTACTGAAGTCCAGGTAGACCACATCCACAGCCTTTCCCTTGTCCACTAGGCGGGTCACCTGGTCATAGAAGGAGATCAGGTTGGTCAAGCAGGACCTGCCTTCCATAAACCCGTGCTGGCTGGGCCTGATGCCCTGGTTGTCCCGCACCTGCCTTGTGAGCGCCCTCAAGATGATCCGCTCCATGATCTTCCCCGGCACTGAGGTCAGGCTAACAGGCCTGTAGTTCCCCGGATCCTCCTTCCGGCCCTTCTTGTAGATGGGCGTCACATTGGCCAGCCTCCAGTCGTCCGGGACCTCCCCCGTTAACCAGGACTGCTGATAGATGATGGAGAGCAGCTTGGCTAGCTCCTCCGCCAGCTCTCTCAGCACTCTCGGGTGGATCCCATCCGGCCCCATAGACTTGTGAGTATCCAGATGACGTAGCAGGTCGTTGACCGCTTCCTCTTGGATTATGGGGGGTTCATCCTGCTCGCCATCCCTGTTTTCCAGCTCAGGGCGCCGAGTACCCTGAGGGTAACTAGTCTGATTGCTAAAGACTGAGGCAAAGAAGGCATTAAGTACCTCAGCCTTTTCCTCATCCTCGGTGACAATGTTCCCCCCCGCATCCAATAAAGGATGGAGATTCTCCCTGGCTCTCTTCTTGTCATTAATATATTTGTAAAAACTTTTTTTGTTGTCTTTAACGACAGCGGCCAGGTTGCGTTCTAGCTGGGCTTTTGCCTTTCTCATTTCCTCTCTGCACGACCTAACGAGATCCCTGTACTCTTCTTGAGTCGCCTGCCCCTTCTTCCACAAGTGATAAACTCTCCTTTTTTTCCTGAGTCCCAGCAAAAGCTCCCCGTTCAGTCAGGCCGGTCGTCTTCTCCGCCCGTTCTTCTTGCGGCGTACAGGGACAGCCTGCTCCTGCGCCTTTAAGACTTCCTTCTTGAAGATCGTCCAGCCTTCCTGGACCCCTTTGCCCTTCAGGATGGTCTCCCAAGGGACTCTCTCAACCAGCGTCCTGAACAGGCCAAAGTCCGCCCTCCGGAAGCCCATGGTAGCAATTTTGCTGCCTCCCCTCCTTACTTCACCGAGAATTGAGAATTCTACCATTTCATGGTCGCTAAGCCCCAGACGGCCTCCGACCACCACATCTCCCACCAGTCCTTCTCTGTTTGTAAACAGGAGGTCGAGCGAGGCACCTCCCCTGGTAGGCTCACTTACCAGCTGTGTCAGGAAGTTGTCTTCCACACACTCCAGGAACCTCCTAGACTGCTTCCTCTCTGCCGTGTTGTATTTCCAGCAGATGTCCGGGAAGTTGAAGTCCCCCACGAGAACAAGGGCCAGCGATCGAGACACCTCTGCCAGCCGCTTGCAGAACGCTTCATCGGCCTCTTCATCCTGGTTGGGTGGTCTATAACAGACTCCCAGCAGGATATCTGCCTTGTTGGCCTTCCCCCTCATCCTTACCCATAAACACTCAGCCGCATCATCATCACAATCGTTAAGCTCTATACAATCGAAACACTCCCTAACATACTTGCTGTACCTTTGTCAAAACTTCACCATTTGAGCTAAACTCACATATGCTGGATATCTGTTTTGGGTCCAGCTGTTCCAGCCGACTTCAGGCACAAAAGCCTCTGACTTCTTGGAAGGCAACTAAAGAAAAATCGTTACCCCACTCATATTAAGATGGGCAACTTGTCAGATAAAAGCTTCAAGGGTTGTTTTAGTTGGTATTGGAAAGCTTCTGTTGCTTGTATAGATTGCCTAAAAGTAATAAGCCCCTCAGAAAACTCTTTCATATGTGTGGATTGTTTATTGTTTTGGCAACTACATTTCTGAAAAATTCCTTCTGTGGTTGGCATGTCACAACCTGCAGGGAGGCACAACTTTCCTTGCAGTTGCTGCTGAAAGCAGTTTTGGAAAGTGCTGTAATGCAGCAGCATGACACCACCTTATGAGGACTGCTGAAGGAGCCATGGCTGCCAACCCTACTACAACCTTTCCAAAACCTGTTACAGATTGCTAACCCTTATGATAGCTTATGGAAGATTCACAGTATGATTGTTACTTCACTAGCCTGTTCAACCACCTTAATTTATTTCATTTTCTAGTTGTTTTTGTCTTTAGATTCCAGAGAAGACAGCTGCTGGTTAGCTAATGGAAGAAGGCCTGACCTTGAGACTTGCTTTCTAAGTGGCTGGTATTCATTTAAATAGAGAATCCGTCCTTCCCACGCCAGACTGGCCCTGGCTGCACTTAAAGCTGGAACACCTCTCTCAAGATGCCTAGTTAGAGGAGATTAGGTTCTACACTACAATAAGAAAAACAAATACTCACTGATCAATTGTAGAGAAAGAGGAATTTGAATCTGGGACAGGCTGTGGGATCAAAAGCTGAATCTTTCAGGAATAAAAGTTTATAAGCATCACTTAAATCAAAATGCACCCATAGGTTTAAGTTGATATCTCAGTAAATGTTCATCTCAAATTACTGAAGATAATGCATTTATTTTATGTTTTGTAAATTAAGGTGGCTTGCTTCTTAAAACAGAATTTACTTAAAACACTGTATTGCTGTGTCAGCAGCTACATCAGGCAATACTCAGTGCCAAGAAAAAACATCATTTGACAAATAGAGATGAAGGACCACAGCTTGACTCAACAGAGCGGACGTCCTCCCAGTTCCAAAGATTAGAGAAATGTAGTTTAAAAGTTTACCAGCTATTGTTTAGCACATACATTACTTAGCATGAATTTAAACAAATAATGACTAATGAGGAACCATTAAATTTAACGCTTCATAATGAATCAGGACCTAAGCAAGATAAACTGATGTTTTTTTTCTGCAAACATAATCTAAGGAAAAGAAGTGGGCTTATGACTCACATATTACACATGATCTGCACAATATATATTTCTGAATTTCAGCTTTTATTTAAAAAGTTTCTTCTTTACAACTGAAAAGATATTAATTAAAAAGATATTAATTAAAAGATATTAATTATATTAAAAAAAAGTAACTGACAGCTTTCTTTTCTTTTTAGGGGTGGACACTTAGCTAAATGAAGCAAGACAATTTAGCACTATTATACACAGTACAGATGTAAAGTATATAGCAAGAAACAGCCTCAGTGCAGAAACCGGAATGAAAGGGCAGAAGTGAGTAGTCCCGTTACCATGTTTTAGACCGATGCAACAACAAAAGCGCTGTAACTTAGAAAGTAACACAAAGGTGAAGTTATACAATGGAAAACATTTACCCGAGATGGGGAGATGCTGGGACAAAATGAGTTTAGTCAAAGATCCCAGTTAAAGACCAACAGGCCCTTAAACATAACGCAGAAGTCACTGCACAACACAACTTTAAAAAATTCTTTGCTCTTAATAACAAAATAATCAAATACAGCAAATCCAAACTTTACATGAATATACAGTGACAACTGTCAAGAACAGCCTTCCAGTTAAGGGTTCAGGATAGAGCTCATTTTAGGGCAGATAACATTACAGGCAATGAAACAGATTTTGCAGGAGTGTAACATTTACTTCAGGTAGTTACTTCTGATATCCTGAATTCAGCTGTCATTGAAAAGCACTGCATTTTTGCACCTATCCCTGTCAAATCTGTGAAACATAAACAATAAAAATTTAGCTAGCATATAGTATTAGAATTTAACAGAGAGAGCCCCTCCTCTCCCTGCAGAATGGCTGTTGATATTCTATGTTACTGCTTAATCAGAATGAACTGAGACAACCAGGAACTCTTAATCAAAAAGCAGCACAGTGAACATAAGTAATAGTATAAGTACCAGCTGCCCACCTAAAGCCTCTGAGGTGCCTTGCAGTGAGTTTTGTCCCCTCTGCTCCAAGTCCATTACAAGAGCTATTTTACAAATAAAACAATTAAGACACTGAAATACAGAGCATACTGGCATCAGCAGCAACGGGGAGTGCAATCTGCCAATCGTACATGGAAGCAGAAGTAAGGGAACAGCAAATTGCATCACTGAAATTAAGTTGATCAAGTAAATACAATCCTTTCTAGACAACTACTAAACTTTATGGAAGGTTTAAAACATCAGCCCTTTAGGCAGAAAAAGAGAGAGGAAGAGACCCTTAATCTTCCAACTAACAAGAATAAGGTAAAAAGATATTCTG